ATATATATACATATATATGTATATATTTATTTATATGTATATATTTACTATATATTTGATATATATATATATATATATAATTTCAAGTATCAGTAATGATAATACCATAAGCCTATAGGGTACACTGTGCAGCAAAGATAGAGCCTATGTGTCAGCGTGAAGGATCCGTAAATGAAGTGACTGACCTGAAAGTTGCCTGACATTGCTGTTGACATGTACAGGGTAGGTCTGCCCCTCTCTGGCTGCTCTCAGTTGGACCTCCAGAGAGTAGCACCTCTTCTTCAGCGCCTCGTTCTCCGTTTTATGCAGAGATATCTCAGTGTGAAGGACGGAGGAGCATTCGTCAGCCAGGCTGCTGATCTCGGCCAAAGCCGCCTTTGTTAGCTTGTCCAGGATCACGGCCAGCTGGGTCCGAAAACTCCTGTTAGCGTTGTCGCACATCATCTCGCTAAAGTAGCCCAGTATCTCTGAATTCGGTACGAATTAGCCCCCCCCTCCCCGAACTAACGTTGCTTCTATAATCAAATATGTGATACAGCTGTACCGCAAAGGATTATGGGAAATCTATAGGCGAACGCCTCAGAATGTATACTGTATGTAAAGGGGGCAGTGGGAATGATTGCCTCAACTTGATTTTTATGGGGTTCGTTTATGATATCTGGATCGAAATTTCTATAAGAAAGATAGTTTCTGAAAACATTACTAAAATGTACTTTATAGAAGAATTGTATTATAATAAGAAAGGTATTTTTTCTGTAGCTTAAAAGTCACTGTTAAAAAAAATCCCCACTGGTTACATTTTGTACCATCATCTTTTGAAAACAGCTGAGATTCCACGTCTTTTTTTCTAATTGTGTTCTTCTTTGCATTTATGCATTCAAACTTATACAATATAAGTACATAACCAATTTGGTCTAATGCAAAACATTACTACAATAACAGGGGTTAAAGTTATTATATATGATAAAAATACATATGATGGCTGTTGTAACTGATTTTAAACTATTCTTGAAAGTTATTTCCATCTAGTGGTGATTATTAGGATATGCAACACAAATAAAATTTCCCCAAGTGCGCTTTGTATGCAGTGTAACTTTGAAAACACCAGCCAAACATCGCCTGATGCTGAGGTTTTACTATCTCCTGCAGTCCATAGGTAGCAATGCCACATTGGTTTCAATTAAATTAATTACAATTTTAAATCCACTAATCATCCAAATAATGCAAAACCCAGGATTCCAGAATATCTTTAAGTTTATTTTCTCATGGTTTGAGTGGGTATATATGACAATTTGAGGATAAACTAAAATTTACATTTAAAATATGAAAAAAAAAAAAACTCTGTTATCTTATTTTAAGCATAATGCATAATCTGTAATGTAAGGTTAAAAAATCTCCTTTCACTGACAGATCATCTTATTTTCTTGCTCGGATTAGGAACAAATAGTTATTTTCAAAATTTTTTAGATATTTTCAGGTCACTTTTTGCAGTCCAAGATGTTTGTCAATAAACACAGAAATTGAAAATGCAGCTAAATCTACAAACCCCACTGAATAGAACCTCATCATAGATATTTTTACAAATTGTGAACGTTTGGCCTTATGTTTGCTTTTATAAAAAATGTTTAATAGACAAAATGTAACTTTTGTGCTGCAGTTGTCATAAAAAAGACATATAACTATTTTAAATATTTTTTTTGTCTAATTTAATCAAAGACTTGAATTTTAAAGCATTCCTTGGTGCCTATATATATATATATATATATATATATATATATATATATATATATATATATATATATTCAGATATAGTGAGAAGCACTTGCATAGAAATAATTCATAAATTACATTAAAGAACATGATAGCCCCATATCACCTCTAAGACTTATAACTTTGTGCACATATCAGCTAATGCTGAACCTTATAGTACACACAAGCACTAAATGAAAGATTTTTACCCTTATTGATCATACAAAAGCAGTTTTCTCACCCCGCAAATTCTTAATTACATTCCAACCAATGTTTTATAGTCTGTTCATAGCCATTAACACAACAGATCTTCTGACAGTTTGGCTGCCTACATGCAGTGTTTATTTTCTTTATCAGATCAAAGCATAAAAAAAATGTATAAATTTTCCCCATGATGAATCACTCAAAGTCGATCCTGTTGCTTAATCATGCATTAACTTAATGCATTTAGGTTTATTTTACACTGGAACCATTCCTTGCTGGATGTAGGGTTGTAGAGCTGTATTTCAGGAGGCACTGGTTTTACGAGACCAGAGCTGTGTCCGAACGTCCACACTAATCACTACATAGTGCACTATATAGTGCTTACTCCATATTAGATGAGTGTCCGAACCACTGATCTCCATTTATTCACTGGATTGCTGATTGGTAGTACAGGATTGAAGTGAAGCCACTGGCCGCCATATTGGTACTCCCTAGTTATAATGGCTGCAATGTAAACAACATGTGCGCTAGAGCACCGAGCAATGATGATTTTCTCATTTTCAGGGAGGTTTAAGAGTTTTAAAATAAAGATAAATTCATCGCTTTGACACAAAAGTATCATGGAATTTTTTATGGAGATCAGAGACCAAAGATGGTGCAGGCACCATGCCGGTAGGCGGAGTTACATGAGCAACAGTGAGTAGTGATAATCTGTCCAAATGGGGAATTAACTGAGTTCACTATAAAGTCCACTATAACAGTCCCCGCTCTATATAGTGATTGAGGGATTTAGGGGTTAAGGCGCACGTTCGGGCACAGCCTAACTACATGTTTATTTGCTTATTGTAGCAACGTTAGTTTTACAGAGACATACTCATATTTTAAGCAAAGCAAACTTTATTTTCCAGTAGCTGTTAAAGCCCAGATGAAGAAAGGAAATACATCTTGATATTTGGCATTCTATGTGGCTTCGTGAACATTTTTTCCACTAAATAACTCACCCCCATAAATGTTCAGGCCATGATCTTGGTGCACAGCTAGATGTTTTTTCAGATTACAGTTCTTTGTGAATCCTTTGCCACAGCTGACACAAACAAAAGGTTTTTCCCCCGTGTGTGTGCGCTGGTGCATATCAAGAGTGCACTTCTGAATAAAACCCTTTCCACAAATAGTGCATCGATAGGGCTTTTCCCCAGTGTGTGTGCGCTGGTGTGTGTACAGGTGACCTTTCTGAGCATATCGCTTTCCACACAGTGTGCATCTAAATGGCTTTTCGCCTGTGTGACTTCTTTGGTGTATTTCAAGCTGACTGAAGCATCTGAAACCTTTCCCACACTGCATGCAGCAAAACCTCTTAGCAGAGGAGTTTCTAAAGCTATAAAGCTTCACATTCCTGGGTGCACTTAAGTTTTGGGAGGAAACATTTTGAGTCACATGTTTCCCATCCTGTAGGGTTGCATTTGCAGGTGATAGCTGTTGGTTCCACTGCATTTCCTGTCTCCTGGAGTCAGAACCACGCTGCTGGGCACCTAAACTCATTGCATTATTGGTGAAAAGAGGCTGCTGGGTTCCTGCAGTGGTTTTAGGATGCTGTATCCCATATGGATCCTTTCGGGTATCAATGAGTGTGTCCTTTCCTGTTGAAGGCAATGAAAAAATAAAAAGTCTAAATGACTTAGGATAAAAAAAATTAAAAAAAAGGAAATTAAGAACTTACTTGCTTCAATTGTTCCGTCTTGTTCAGGGATATTGTCATCCACCTCTACTGGTTCTTCTTTCACCACTATCAGTTCGGACAATTCGTTTGGTGGGTTTGGAGGCTGAAGTACGTAAATGTAAACAATAATTACGCTTGGTTACAAGGTTCTACAGAAAATGTTTTCCACATACATTCTACCTTTTACACAGTTTAAGTAAAAAACAAAAATACATCTGATGGCTCTGGACTCTGAATAAACCCTAATCCCTGATCATGATGCTGCACCCACCCTGTAGTGGGTATGGTGTCCTTTGGTAAGTTCCAGTTTGGTTTCATCAGGCCGAGAAATTTTCAACAAAACTTGAGATATATATATATATATATATATATATATATATATATATATATATATATATATATATATATATATATATATATATATATATAAATCCTCAGTCGGGACAGAAAGACTGATGTGAAAGTTTCTTAGAGGAGAATACCTTTCCTTTGTCACGGTATAGCTGTAACAAGGTGGAAATTTGAAACTAATAAAAAAATGTGCTTCAACAAGGTTTCAGTTGAACAGTGTTAACATTTATAAAATTAAGTGATTTTCTTACTTATCTGTCTATTGTATATCTTTCATAGCTGACTTATTAAAGATAAATGTCTAACTATAAGTGGTTAAGTTTTGGAACCACTGTTTCAGTCAAACAGATCTTAAGGTATTCATCATATTTGGATACTTACTTCAGTTGAAGCATCCTCCTCACTTTGATGGAAACCTTTCATCTCAGTTGAGGATCTTATGTTTTCCCACGTAGTTCCAACACTAATGAGTCCATTAAAATTAAATAAAACATATATCACAGATCAAGACAAAAATCATACAATAATGGGATACAATGATTCTGCGGGCAGAACCGGGCGCTTAATCTACCTACTTTGAGTTTTCTGAAGCAAAATATGCCTTGTTTTCTGAAGGCTCTCTGATCTCTGAGCATGCTGCTGCCGCCGCCGCCGCTGCTGCGTCATGCCTGCGCTCCTGAGCCATGTACAGCAACTTCTCCATCAGCTGCAGCTTCTCTGTGAGTGAGGCGATTTCATTTCTCCCTCTTGTAATTTCTATTTTCAACATCTTGGATTCGATCTCCACCAGTTTGCTGATTTCCATCACAGCTGTTTTGGATAACGCATCCATGATGGAGACGAGCTGCGTCTGGAAGGAGAAGGCTGTGGACATGTTGCTCGTTGTTCTTACGTGACGAGTGCAATTCACGAAGGCGAGTTGCCACTCTCAGAATTCCTTCCAGTTGACCACAACAAATGTACTTTAAACCGTGTTGGGCTAGAGACACAGTACAGGCTTGTACTTCCACTTAAAACTCAAGTCGTTGAAGTGCGACCCTTAGCTCCGTCTAGCGGTGAGGCGGACACATAGCAGTCATACAAAACGCAAATATTTAGCTGAAATATTTGTATATATTAGGCTACTTGATAGGCGACAGCATTATCTGAATGTGGTAAGTTCTAACTAAAGGTCATTTTTGCTTTATTTTATCAGCATCCGGTAGCTACTTTATCGGGACTTCATTGCCCAGAATGCATTGCGGTATTGCGAAAGTAGTGATTGGCTAATGAGTCGTCGTTTCAGGAACTAGTGCGTGGAATTAAACTCTTTTTTCCGACTGAAAACCTGCTTGACCATCTGCTGTTTTGATTTTTTTTATAAAAGGTATTTAAAGTTATTTGCTTCTATGATCGAAAATAAATGTTGTGGTTGTTTATGGTTTTCAGATACTAACAATCGTCCATGTAATAAAATACAATGTGGCAGTTTTCATGACCTGCCTCTCTACTGAAGGATGGTTAAAGTAAATTTGCTTAGTGAAGTCTTTAATGTTTATTTAGCCATGGTTTTAGCTTTATCTTTTAAAGAAAATTATTTTCTAATCTATAACAATACCCCCTTATGTGCATTTGCACATAGCTGCAAAACTGTGTTATAGATGACCTCATTTTGTTTTGTTCATTTGTTTGTTTTTCTTTGCAGTGTTTTAATGGCTGGAAGAAGAGTTGTTGTCTTTCCCTCCTCAGCTGAGCTGGGTCCAGCATTGGCCCACCTGGTGACATCACGAGCTGAGAAGTCCATTGCTTCCAATGGCAGGTTCACCCTGGGTCTCTCAGGAGGGAGCCTTGTGTCCATGCTCAGCAAAGAGCTGCTTGCTCTGCCCCAGCTGGACTGTAGCAAATGGGTGGTTGGTTTCTGCGATGAGCGGCTGGTTTCTTTCACTGATCCAGAAAGCACATACGGCCTTTACAAGGTTAAATGAGTGGTTAATGAGTTAAAATAAATCTTCCTATGGCATTTGCTTTATTTCCAGACCTTTTTTTTTTCTTTTTCAGAGTCAGTTGTTTTCCAAAATCAACATTCCTGATAGTGGAATCTTGACCATTGACTCCTCTCTGCCAGTGGATAAGTGTGCAGAGGATTACACATGCAAATTGAAAGAGGTCCAAATCAATTCAAAGCTTTAACATTTTGGTGCTTTAGTAATTCTTTGAAGGGCATTACTTATTTCCATTTAAAATCACAGGCCTTCCCAGGAGATGACTTCCCTGTGTTTGACCTGTTACTGCTGGGTATGGGACCAGATGGACACACTTGTTCTCTTTTTCCAGACCATCCCCTTCTAGAGGTGAGGGCTGGTTTGACACCAGAGATTTTTGTTGTAAAATGTATTTCTTTGTATTTGTTGTTTATAGGGTATGGACTGCTGGTTACAAATCTCAAACTGAACCTCATTTTTCATATATTTCTTCATAGGAATCAAACTGTCTTTTAGTCTTTTTTACAACCCTATAGGGCTTAATTTCTCGAGGCTTTATTAAGTTCCTTTTAATGCCTTTTTTTTTATAATTCCTGTAATTTCGGTAATTATTTGTCTAGTATCTTATACAGTGTAAAAGTAGAGTGTGAACGAAAAGATGATGCAACTCGCACATCCTGCCTTGATTACAGACTGACTTCTTTAAATTGAAGTTTAATTAGTAGTGGTTTAGAGCTATTGCTCTGTACTTTGTGAATGCTTTTAACATACATTTAAAGTATTTGTAGATCATCAACATCTTTTCCACAGATGTGCTGTGGAAATGTGCTCCTAGAACCACTGTTCCTATCTTCTAACTGTTCTCGGTGTTGGGGTTAAATTTGGGAAATTATACTGTTGAACTAAAGTGACTAAAAATTAAAGCCACCTCTAAACCTCTCCAAATTCAGCTTCTCACTAAAACTGATGACACGTCTCACTTTCAACAGAAGTGAAATGCTTTACATGAAACACTTTTCAGTAAAACTGAAAGGAATACATGTTTTTCACTAATTTGTTTTTAATTGCCAGAAAAATATGAAGGTTGAAATAATTAAGCCAGGAATAACGAAAATTAAAAGCTGTTAGAACATAATTTGTAGTAAATATATTTAGTCAGATTGATGTATATTTATTTTACAGTAGTATCTCTTTTTGTATTCAATATGTAGGAAAAACAGAAGATTGTGGCTCCCATCAGTGACTCTCCAAAACCACCACCACAGCGCGTCACTATGACTCTCCCTGTAGTGAACTCTGCACGCTGTGTGGCCTTTGTCTCAACAGGTGGAAGTAAAGCTGCTGTTTTGAAGGTGATGGTCAAGAATAGTTCTTAAATATGTACATTTAAGCATCAGACATCAACCAGGATTTTATTGGATATAAGTATAATTTCTGATATATGTGCCATTATTAAGAGCCAATGCATTTACTTTCTTGCATAAAAATGCCTTGTCTGATATGATAATTCAAATAACACTTGGGATAGCTTTCTGACATAAACTATCTCTCTGCCTATTACCAAATACAATTTAGGTTTCTGACAGTAAATTAACAGTACTCCTGAAAAGTAGTAATAAATGCATTGGACAGGTTGTAACACTTATTTTTGTAATCATGCTGTTGGATTTTGTTGCAGGATGTTCTGGAGGGTGGAAAAGCTCCAGCGTACCCAGCAGCTCGTGTCCTCCCAACCAGTGGTGAACTGTTTTGGCTCATTGATGAACCTGCTGCTACTGCCTTGACTATCCAAGTTGAAAGGCCGGGTGCAGAAGCCAAACTTTAAAGCTCCTGGTCTGATGATGAATTAGGATACCAACACTGTTTATAAGGAAGTACTGCATTGGTGACATGTTGCACTAGGGTGCATAGATAAATAAAAAAAATATGCTTTTGTAACTTAGTACTTTCAGTGTGTGTATAAATGTAATTTGCATTGGGATGTCTAACCTAATCTTACTTAAGAACACCAATTAAAATACAACCCATTTCTTACTGTTATTATTTTGAATGCATAAATACATTTTAAATGTCTTACACTTAAATTATATCAAAGCATAATTTGATTAACCTGCTAGCATAACTGTAGAAATGCTTTCATTAATGCCTATTTTGTCTTTTTTCGTTCAGTGTTTCTCTATCTGTTTAAAGTCGTGGGGAAGTGGCTGTTCGTACGGTTACAGTTACGAATTCTCCCAAGTGGTGCACGACTTTACAGGAGTCAATTAGGTGAATGTGATTGGTCGATTATCAAGGGGGCGGGATTGTTGTGGCAGAAGTGTTGCAAGCAAATTGGTTGTGGCCGGTTTGTCGGAAGCATCTTGCTAACCAGTTAGCAACATAGCGCTAGTAGGTTCACAATGGGAAATTACATTGGGACCAAGTAGCACTTAAAGGGGAACGCTGTTCTTTTTTTTTTACATTGGGCCCTTGATTTTACGTTATAACATCATGTTCTACTTACCCGTATAAGTTTTGTGTCATTTGGAGCCATTCTGAAAATATTCTGTTCGGTTATATCCAGGTAACATCTTCCTATGGGCAAAGACTTGAAAGCACAACTAAACTGTTCATAATTTATTCTTTATGGCACGCCAGCATTCATAACATGTAGGCGAATCACTGTCCCCCAGACATCCGCGGTTATATTTTTTATATTTATATGTTTTTAAAACAAAGTGAGGCCTGTATGATGTCATCCGCGCATGCAGACTGGAGTCGTAACAGGAAGCCCGGGCCACAGGCGGCTACGCTCTACCCCTTCTATTCATTCAGCTAGCTAATCTGAATCGTTCAATTCCATTTGGTGAGCGATATCATCTGTGGTAGTAGGACTAGACATCTTTCAGGCATGTGAGTAAAACTAGCTGCAGTTCAGCGGACAGGAAGAATGAACGGTAGCTGGCGTGCACGGATGACGTCAGACACGCACCGCTTCGTTTTTAAAAGATATAAATATAAAAAATATAACAGCGGATGTCTGGGGGACAGTGATTCGCCTACATGATATGAATGCTGGCGTACCATGACGAATAAATTATGAACAGTTTAGTTTGTGCCTTCAAGTCAATCGCCCATAGGAGGACGTTACTTGGATATAACCTAACAGAATATATTCAGAACAGCTCCAAATGACACAAGACTCATATGGCTGAGTAGAACATGATGTAATGACGTAAAATCAAGGGCCAAATGTAAAGAAACCGGCGTTCCCCTTTAACAACGACACTGTCAAGGAACGCCATGGACAGCGGATACATGCAGGAGGAGGAGACTTTTGTGTCAGAGGTCGTGAATGAGTCTCCTCCGTCATACATTTTTTATTTAGAGGAGAAAAGCTGAGACGAAGATGTTGTGGAAGAGGACACCAGGGCGGCAGAAGCTAGGTTTGGTGTAGAAGGCTTACAGCCATACATGTTTGAGCCCTTGCCTCGCAATGCTGCCGGTTCTGTTAGCTCTACGCCTGCCGAAGACACAGACGTCCATCCCCGTGAACACTGGGACGGAACTCAATGGTAAATGATTATTTCATCCGTTGCGTATATTAGCTGCGACATATGATTCAAGATGCTATAACCGAAAAAATTTGATTGACAGATGACAGTTGATATATGATTGGCCGAATTTAGGTGTTCAAGCTGACGTATAACTAACTGCATAAGATAACGGGAAAAAAACACAGATTTTAAGACAGGATTTTTTTTTTTTTTTTTATAGAAATGTTCTAACTTTAACTATATGGTCTGATAAAGAGTACATTATACGTTACACGTTTAAGCCAGAATGATTGGAAATTTAAATATGACTTTTAATATGATTGCAAAACATCTTCAGATATTTTCCGTTGTATCTAACTAACCAAACAAGCATGTTGCTGCCCTAATGGTGATTGCCTAAAGTGATCCAAAATGTTATCTACCAAAAAAAAAAAAAAGTCGGTGATGTGTTTGTTTCCCCTTTAAGATCAGGCCACATCCCACTTTAAAGCTCAACATCAGGATCTTCTGCACAGACTCTGCTTTATT